GATATCGAACGAGAAACGATCTCTTCTTAACGAGAAAGTCGGATCCTGTGTTTGTGAAACCATTGTTCAAGTTTCTCAACCGTTCCCTTCTTTTTTATACACTCCTTTCCCTTCGTACTCAACGTAATATTTTTTATAAACGTTTGTTCAACGGATTTATTGAAATAAATAAATAAATGATCGAAATATTACAAAGTAAAGGAAAACGATGTTCAAAGGGTGTTCATTTACTTGTCCCAGTCTGAAAATGATTTAAAGGGGTCAAACCACTGTCCCGATTGAAACACGACGCGTGAATGATGAATGGAGTACGTGGCTTCGGACTAGTTAGAATAATCCGATCGCGGATCGGCGGTAGTAATTAGCTCGGACGATCCGTTTCAATTAGAACTCCCGTAACGAAGTTATTGTCGGACGATGTCGATTCACCGCAGCGCGTCGACCAGGAGGAATATTACGCCGTCACCCTTCGCGAGTGTCGTATGAACCAACCAGATACTTTAATGACCCTTAACGATGAACAATTAGCTCGAATCGGACGAGTAACGCAATCGGTTTTGCGTTACACCTCTGACCAGTCTGCCTGCGACCAGTTCGTTAGTAATAGAAACAAGCGTAATTGATCGGTTCCTCTTTCGATTTCATACGACTCTGGATTACGTCTCTCGAGGTTACTGACAATTGTATTCATTATCATATGTGTAACAATTATCATATTTAAATGAAGATAAAATAGTTTCCGATTCAACTAATTTGCCAACACGCTTGTTAAAATGACGCATCATCCGTTTACTTTAATTTAACTGACTGAGTCAAGCCGAGACTAATTCACCGATGATTTATTTAACACTCCGGGTGTACCAGTTGGCTTTTTGGACGTGATGCACTCGAAAGCTCAAAGCTGAAACCGCGTGATAATCTGCTCGTCCGTCATGCTTCGTAACTTGAAAAGATACGGAGCCGTTCCAGTTGGAACCAGGATTCCTGACGAGGCAGCGGCACTTTGGTAACGAGACTCGTGTGCCTCTGAGTAGAGCTACGTAACTGCACGTGTGTATCTCAAGTTGAGCGTGTGTCCCACTCGAGAGTGTGTAACTTTGCCATGTTACTCCGGTTCACGCATATGCGTCTCGTAGCCTCTCGTTTGGTGGCCTGGATGGATCGTCGTTAACTACATGCCCCGGGTCTCGTTAGCCTTCTTTATTAGCCACGTCGTTGACTCGCGGATCAGGATCCTACGACAGCCTAATCTGTTCGCTCGTTACGCGCCACCGAGATTACCGGTCGGACTTCCCGTTTCGTTCCTGATTCGCGTGCGTCTGGTAAGCCACCATACACCGACAATTGAATTTGGGGTTTAAAATTAATTCATATTCTACAGTCAGGAAGCTCAATTAATTTCTCAATTAATTTCTCAATGTACGATGTATATAAACCATTCTTTATACATTATAAAGTGTATAATGGAACGATAAAGAGTATTTTCTATTATGTATTTTGAAATCGTCTACTACTTAATTCAGAAGACTGGAAATGTTTGTCGCAGTGCACCAAACGCATCCTTGTTACGTGCGTAGAAAAGAAAAAGGGAAGCAGAAGGCGGACGGGCTTTTGTAAATTCGAAACCGTGGTGTTCACGAACCGGATCGGGTCGTTAGTTTCACGAGGTTTGTTAACGGTCCTCGTGGGGTGGCCAGAGATACTTACCGCGATACTTTTCGTCTCCATTCTCTTGGCTGGCGGTCGCTAGCATTGAGGAGGGTGTGGAATTTCAAAGCACTAGCCGTATTTTATCCATAGTTAACTTTTCTCATATCTCTTTCTGTAGCCTCGATAAGAATAACAAGAGATAGGAAGGATTGGAAAAAAAATTTCAGTCGAATCTAATTGTACATGCTTGTAATTGTTTATTTGTGATTTATTCAAAAATATTATACATAGTATAAATAATAAATAATATAAAAAACAAATGTGTGTTGTGTGGTTAAATTTTTCATTTTGGAATTTCCACTTTCTCTGGAGATGGGAATGTACGATTCTCTATAATGCGGTTTCTGACAGAAACGCGAAACGACTGCCTAAGAAAGGATTTGTAGAAGAATAAACAATTAGCAAATTAAAGAGACAGTAAATACATATTACGTACTGCCAGTTGAATAAATATGGGAGAGAGATATCATTATTCTATTCATCTGGGTACTTTGCGTCAAGTTTTTAACTCACGTTCCTACTCAGATGGATCTTAAGGATGTATTGGCTATACAGTCAATCCCAAAAGTTTATGCACTTTAGAAACGCATTTTTTAAAAAGAAATCAGACGTCGAAAGGACATTGCTAATAATAAACAACAACAAAAAATTTTCGATTTTTCCGAGATTTTTCCAAGGGGTACCCCTTCAGATTTCGCGAAATTTTCGTTTTTTGCCCATAACTTCCAAACGGATGGACTTACGGGGACATTTATAGGACCGTTTTATAGAGGACGACGAGATCTACAATTTCTGTATAAAAGTTTCTTGCTAGCGTCAATAGTTAACGAGTAATTTGCAAAAAACTGTTTTTTCGTTTTTTGTC